TTTTAATAAAGTATAATCCAAATAGTTTAAAGATTATAAATTATTTGTTGAATATATTTAAGTAGAATAATAAGCTCAAATTCAGCATTAAATTGAGTTTAAAACTAGGATTCAGAACTTATTTCTTTCTTTAAATTCAACAACTCATTCTCATAATTGATTGATTCATTCTTTGTATTAATGAATTCTTTTTGATGGTTATTATTAATTTGATTACTTTATGCTGATAAGTATTATTCTATGCCTAAAGCAAAAGTTGGATTCTATTAAATGTGAGGATTACCAGTTATTCATCTATCAAATCTATCAAATATAATTTAAACTGTTAGAATCCGATTAATTCGTTACAATTAGAAATAAGTATATATATAATTTCTAAGTTAAATAATTTGGATTTATACTTTAAATAATTTTATTCGATTTAAGACTGACCTAAGAAATTCTAAATAATATTTATTTTTACAATTGAAATTTAGACTATAAATAATTATTTCTATAAAATTGATAAAATTACTTAAACAGAAAATTTATTTAAATTCTTAAAAAAAAAACTTCTTTAATAATTTGAGTTTTTATATACCTTTATATTTAAAGAAATTATATTTTTCATTTATTAGGAATGGTATAACAGTTGTTACGATAGAATAATAGTTTTATTATATGCAGGATTAGAATTAAAAAATTATTGCTTTGAAGATGAATCTAATTATTTATTATTTTAACTAAGGGTTATTCTACTTTTTTTGTAAGAAAATGTAAAAACCTTTTTGCTCATTATATTATGAGTTCACTTTATGTTATTGATGTTGCTTGCAGAATAGTTGGCTAAATAGTTGTATTTTTGTGATGATGATGTCTCAAATCAAGAATCTATAATTTTTCAAGCATTTTAAAAATAAGGAAAAAGAGCTATATAAACTTTCAGAACTTTCTATTGTCAGAATTAATAAAAGCAAAGGTGCCAAAATAGATTTACGAATGCTTAAATGAGTAAGAGGTATTTTAAAACAATAACCTGAATTCTAGTTGTATAAAAAGTTAAGGATTTAGGTATATTGATAAGATTGCTATTTCGTCAGCAAGAAAATCTAGATTCTAGGCTCAGCTCAGTGTAAATCAATTCATTCATTGATGCAAGAAGTTGTTTCAGGGGAAAATGAGCGTTGCTCCAAAATTTATGTAGAATTGGAATGGGTAATTTATTCTATTTAATGCTATTTACTGTAATCATAGGCACTTTACTGGAGTGTAAAAAATATTAAAAGAAGCAAGGCCTACAATAATTGAATCCTTACAAGTTCAGTCTAATCAATTAAAAATATTCAAAAAGTGCAGTTATTTTACTTTACAATTTTAAATCGTTGATGACTGGGTAAATTAAATGAAAAGGAAACTTTTCCACATAATAGATAAGCAGAATATAATTAAAAAGTTTTAATATTCCCAGATTTATCGGCACCAAATTGTATATTTATCATAAAATATCCTAATATTTATAATAAAACTTAAATAATTATATTATTTTATGTGATAGACGCTTAAGAATTTACTGAAATTATTAGCCTAACAATAAAGAATAATAGTTGTTTTAGAGTACATCACCTATATGGAGTAACTACTTTCGTTAAATTAAACAAGTTAAGTGAGTATTTACCTGTCTGATGCCAAAAATAAAATAATTAAAGAATTTGAATTTAATGCTGTTTTGCTGTTAAGTAAAGTGACTCTTAAAGGCACCAACTGAATCCAAGTTGAAGCTCGTTCTGTTAACGAAGCTCCTGGTGTTAAATGATTTAGAGATTTTTTGGTAGTGCGTTTACTATTATCAGCTTACTTGCCAGAGGATTCTATTAATTAATAAATTGATAAGAGAACAACTAATATAACTAACAAATAAAGAAAGATCATTTTTTTAACGTGATACATGATAAGAAAAGAAGTAAAAAATAAAGAAACTATCAAGATGCTATAATAATAAGCACTATCGGAGGTCCTTTTATCTGGGTTTAAGATAGATTTTAAAGAACTCATAATTTAGATTACCCACATCATATTATCACTAGATCATTTTATATCTTTTTGGACCCTAATTTTCTTCACTGGCTAGTATGTATATTTAATTGAAAAAAATTTATCAGTTTCTAAATTATTGTAAAGTTATAATGAT